TTTTAAGTATTCAAGAGTAATTGGGGTCAACTTCACATCATTCAATGTAATGCTAATTTCTCGTCGTTGATCTTCTGTGGTATTTACAATCTCAGCAAAATGGAAGTAGACGTATAGATACCAACTAAGGTTATGTTCTGAATTATATTTCAATGAGTCCCAGTGATTCAGTGGTTGTGCAGCCGTTCCCAAAATTTCCATTGGAATTCCGTAATTACTGTTATTGGCTTGGATATCCATGGTTGCCCTCATTTGGATTAAGCGCGATTTAGAAAAAGTGAAATGATCCCAAACACGGTCATAAACATCGTCTTTGTATCTAAAGAGAAAGAAAATAATATAATAAAGTTATTTTCGACATTATACATTTATAATAATCAATTTTTGTATCCACAATTAATATTTAATTACTTAAAAGTTAAGTGCGTATTTCTAAATCTACAAGACATTAGATGCCCCACCATTCAGCCCAAATCGTATTAGGGATAAGGATAACGGCAATTTGCATTAAAAAGGGTTGGAGTTAAACTGGTTTTGCTCCCACGTTATATATATAGAAGACGAGAGGACACTTAGAGATCCATTTTACTTATCAAATTTTTGCACAATATAGTTACAAAAAAATATATATTAAAGTTTATAAAAACACAGTTATTATGAATTGAAATTTCATGTTTACTCTTATTAACAATGGAAGTTGGGAGGTTGAAAAAAGAGGCTTTAATATTATGTATAAAATAAAAATAAATTAATTAATTAAATTACTTCTTTTTAAAAAGTGTGACAAAAATGTATTTAAAGTAGCATGGATAATTATTTATGGGCCGAAACTGACAGGCATAGACAATTCCAACCATTGATCATGGTGCAGGACCCATTGGGCGAGCAAGGTTTGGAACACAACTCATTTTTAATAAAATTTTTAATAAAAACCAAGATAGTCTACTTTTAGTCATAAACAATAATCAAAATTAAAAATAAAAAGCAACTTCCTTAGGCCGTTTAGTAATGTTGGTTTTAGATTTTAGTTTTGATTGTTAAAATTTACTAACAGTGAATTAAAGTAAAAAATTTAATAAATTGAAAAAAAAAATAGTTTTGGCTATCATTTATAAAATTTTACACTTAAAAAGTTGTTAATTTAAACTTAAAAATTTAAATTTAGCTATTAAGGAATAAGGGTCCATTTTAATCTGTTGACCATCCTCATATAAAAAATAAATATAAAAAATAGCATAGATTCTTAGTACGTACCTGGTTGTGGAATAATTGTCATAGGTTATGACGTCATAACGGTCATATAATCTGAGTGCTCTTGATTCAATCTGGTAAATGAAGTCGTTCAAAAGCCGAAGTTCCAACCCAGAAATGATTGGAATACCGGAGCCAGTATTCACCAAGCAGACATCTATCGTATCGGTGCTTAAAAACTGGATGATTTCGTCGACCCAGTACGAATCCCCGATGTCTAATTCCACAGTTGCCCAAAAATTCACGCCGAGGTATAGTTCAAACTTAGGGGGTTTTTGAAGGCCATCATAATTTCCATAAGTGAAGAAGACTCTGAACATGTAGTGGTGGCCCTTGCCTTGTTCAGGTTTAAGGTGGTAACAGCTCTTATTTACCTCTGGAAAACTTCTCAGGGTATTAAGCATCTGCACAAGTTGAGGATTGCCAGCCGCGTATTGTGGGGATACCACGTTATTCAGTCCAACTGTAACGAATTCCGAATCTGACTCGTAATAGATTCCACTCTGCTCATCTGTATAACCTTCATTCACCCCACAATCAATGCTTATTGAACCTTCACTCCATACAAATAAAAATCATGTTAATAATAATTAAACATCAATTTGGAACTCAAATTAAAAGAAAATAAAATTAAACTAAGAAGTTATATTATACAAAATTACTATCAATTGATATATATAATTTAATTTATGCTTTGATTCAGTTACCTGGCCTGTCAGTAGTAGTAGCGAGCTTTCTTGGTTCGACAAGTTTATCGTGTCCCGCGCACAACCCAGCCATGAGGACTGCCAGAATGAAGACCGCCCATGCCCATGGTTTAAAGACCAATGTTT